AAACGTTGTTTGGCTATGTTACCGCTTTGCTCAGCCCCTCTTATAGCGTTGTTAGTTGCAGGTGAAGATTGGAGTTTGTTCCTTGTTGGAACATGGATATTTTGTTGGGATATCACAATATCTCTTATTTTAATTAATGCATCTATATACTTGGTAAAGGGTGGAAGGCTCGGCCTTATGCCTAGTGTTTTGTTCCACTCTTGCCACCCTAGTTTCCGTCATATCGATGTTATGTTCCCGGATTTTGCGTTCCTTACACGGTTGGGTTATAATGGGAACCCCTTGACAGTTCGCTTCGAATAAAACTCCTCCAGCAAGGCCCAACCTTGGTTTTACCATTTGCCACCTGGCCTTTTCTTTTCCCTTGGGAGTCGCGCTCCCGAGGGTCATCATTATTTTAACCCCCCGGGCCAGTGCTTCTCTGAGTGTTGGTCCAACCTGTCAGCCGTCGGTGGCCACCAGGGGCAACTCTGGGCTGGCCTACTGGAAGTTTGGACAATCTGAGTGTGCCCTGAGAACGAGATATGTGCAGCTCCTATCGGGATTTGTCGGCACATTCGGGCGGCTTTGCTGGACTTGTTTTACCATTGTCGAGGATGTCTTGTAACCGGGATGCCGAGCCTGATCGGAATGTCTTGGGAGAACGAATATCCTTCGTTGACTGTGAGAGCTTGTGATGGGCTAAGTTGGGACACCCCTGCAGGGATTGAACTTTTGAAAGTCATGCCCGCGGTTATGGGCAGATGGGAATTTGTTAATGTCCAGTTGTAGAAAAACGGAAGTTGATCTTAATTAAAACGCATCAACCGCGTGTGTAACCGTGATGGTCTCTTTCCGGTGGTGTCCGGGAAGTGAACATGGTGTTGGAGTAATGCTTGACGTAGGTTGTTCTAGGATCACTTCTTGATCATAGTTATTCGTTCATTCTTTTGCCTTCTCTTCTCGCTCTCATTTGCGTATGTTAGCCACCAAATATGCTAGTCACTTGCTGCAGCTCCACCTCATACCTTTTACCTACCCATAAGCTTAAATAGTCTTGATCGCGAGGGTGTGAGATTGCTGAGTCCCCGTGACTCACAGATACTTTCAAAACCAGTTTGCAGGTGCCGATGTTACCGTGCAGTTGACGCAACTGAGCTCAAGGAGGAGCTCTATGAAGATCTTGCCCTTTGTGTTGTTTCGTTCTAGTTGATCAGTAGTGGAGCCCAGCAGGGACGATCGGGGATCTGTGTAGCATTTGGGATAGTCTTCTTTTATTTTGGTTCCGTAGTCGGACCTTGAGTGTATTTGGATGAATGTAATTTTATATTCATGTATTGTGTGAAGTGGCGATTGTAAGCCAACTATGTATCTCTTTCCCTTATGTATTACATGGGTTGTGTGAAGATTACCTCACTTGCGACATTGCTTCCAATGCGGTTATGCCTCTAAGTCGTGCTTCGACACGTGGGAGATATAGCCGCATCGAGGGCGTTACATTCCGGCAACATCGCATTTGTGAGGATCCGTTCGACTACGTCTGTTTGTCTTCTTCATGGACTCGTTCTTCTTCCTTGCGGGATTTCAGGCAAGATGACCACACCCTCAAAATCACTTTTATCTTTGCTTGCTAGTTGTTCGCTCTATCGCTATGTCGCGCTACCTACCACTTGTTTATCAAGCCTCCCAAATTGCCATGATAGCCTCTAACCTTTTTTAACCATCCTAGCAAACCGTTGTTTGGCTAAGTTGCCGCTTTTGCTCAGCCCCTCTTATAGCGTTGCTAGTTGCAGGTGAAGTTGAAGTTTGTTCCATGTTGGAACATGGATATGTTGGGATATCACAATATCTCTTATTTAATTAATGCTTCTATATACTTGGTAAAGGGTGGAAGGCTCGGCCTTATGCCTGGTGTTTTGTTCCACTCTTGTCGCCCTAGTTTCCGCCATACCGCTGTTATGTTCCTTGATTTTGCGTTCCTTACGTGGTTGGGTGTTATGGGAATCCCTTGACAGTTCGCTTTGAATAAAACACCTCTAGCAAGGCCCAACCTTGGTTTACATTTGCCTAACAACCTATTACCTTTCCCTTGGGTCGGCCAACCCGAGGGTCATCTTTATTTTAACCCCCCGGGCCAGTGCTTCTCTAAGTGTTGGTCCGAACCGAGCTGCATGCGGGGCCACCTCGGAGAAATTTGAGGGTTGGTTTTACTCGTAGCTAGTCTCATTCGGTGTTGTCCTGCGAACGAGATACGTGCGACTCCTATCGGGATTGTCGGCACATCAGGTGTCTTTGCTGGTCTTGTTTTACCATTGTCGAAATGTCTTGTAACCGGGATTCCGAGACTGATCGGGTCTTCCCGGGAGAAGGAATATCTTTCGTTGACCGTGAGACCTTGCGATGGGCTAAGTTGGGACACCCCTGCAGGGTTTGAACTTTCGAAAGCCGTGCCCGCGGTTATGTGGTAGATGGGAATTTGTTAATGTCCGATTGTAGAGAACTTGACACTTGACTTAATTAAAATGCATCAACCGCGTGTGTAGCCGTGATGGTCTCTTTTCGGCAGTGTCCGGGAAGTGAACACAGTTCTTGTGTTATGCTTGAACGTAAGTAGTTTCAGGATCACTTCTTGATCATTTCTAGCTTCTTGACTGTTGCGTTGCTTCTCTTCTCGCTCTTATTTGTGTATGTTAGCCACCATATATGCTTAGTGCTTGCTGCAACTCCACCTCACTACCTTCTCCTACCCATAAGCTTAAATAGTCTTGATCGCGTGGGTGTGAGATTGCTGAGTCCTCGTGACTCACGGATACTTCCAAGCAGTTCCAGGTGCCGATGATACCAGTGCAGGTGATGCACCCAGCTCAAGTGGGAGCTCGATGAAGATCTTGGTCGTTGTTTTGTTTTGTTTCCATTTGATCAGTAGTGGAGCCCAGTTGGGACGACCGGGGATCTGGCATTTGGGGTTGTCTTCTTTTATTTTTGTTCCGTAGTCGGACCTTGTTTGTATTCTGGATGATGTATGTTTAACTTGTTATTTATGTGAAGTGGCGATTGTAAGCCAACTCTTTATGCCATTCTTATTTAGTACATGGGATTGTGTGAAGATTACCCCACTTGCGACTAAACTACCATGCGGTTATGCCTCTAAGTCGTGTCTCGACACGTGATAGATATAGCCGCATCGTGGGTGTACCAGTTATTTAACAAGTTCAACTAAAATTAATTAATTAAACTACGCAAGGTACCGGGCACTGACCTCGTGGGCATGGCCTCTGAGGCCACTGGCACCTCCGTCGGCAGCGTCAGCGTTGTTGTTGTCGTCGACCTTCCAGCGGCGAACGGCCTCCCAGGGATCACGGCAGCCCTGATCGGCCGCCGATGCGTTCTTACGATGAAGCCTCTCCGCCTCATGCTGCCAATCAAAAACATCCGGCTAGCAGCGACAGTCGGGTGTGGACTCCGGCCCACGTCGCCTGCCATTGCTCTTGCCAGCAAGGACACGAGCTGCACGCTTGAATCCAGCGTCGGTGGCAGGCGAACTTCTGCGCGGTGGTCCTGAACCAATCCTCAGCCCAGGCCAACAAGACGTCCGGGTTTGCGTGCACCCAATCCGGCGCCATGTTCTATGTCACGAAGGCCGAACGACGCTCCACATTCCGCCGCTCGAAGTGCTCCTCCTGGGATGCCACCTTGTTGGCTGCCGTCCTAGCGCTCAAGGAGGAGGTGCCGCCGTTTCGTCCGAGGTAGTAGAGGAGGCGGCAGCGTGCATTAGCGATCACTGGAGCAGGCGCCTGCTCCTTTACGGCAACCGCACACCATCAATCACTTTCTTTATTGACCATTCGATCAATATCCAACGGCCTCAATCACGTTGCGGCATGTTCATCTTCTTCTCCCCCATCTTCTTCCTCCCGGACGACATTTCCTCCTCCCCACGGCCTACTCCATCCCATCCGCTTGCCTCCACCCCCATGGTCGACGGGCGGTACCGTGCACCACCTCGCCACCCCGCCCTGCCCTCAACCTCCCCCACCGCCGTTGCTAGCCGCCGTCCCGACCATCCCTCTAAGCCTCGCACCACCTGTGAAAAACTCATAGTTTTAATTAGCCGTGCCGCTAAATGATCGCCTTCACAAATAGCTCGCTATAGCCCGCTATAGCTCCGCTATAGCTGATTTGAAGGCCCACCGCTATTTAAACCATTGGAAAAACTCCAACGATCCCATGCACGGATGCACCTCCACCACTAAGATAGTTAATGGGGTTGTGACTTCCCCTTAAGAAAGATAATGAGGCTATGGTTTCCTCCTAAGATAGATAATGGGGTTGGTTCTTCTCCGGCGAGGTCCGGCCTCCCCATCTCATGCGCTCCGGAAAAAGGAAAAAGTGACTGACGCAACAAAAAATTCTGTACCTAAAAAATAGCAAAACCGCTAAAAGAAATGTTACAACCAAGGAACACGAATTTGCATCAAAAAGGAGAAAAAAAGGAAGAAGAAACTTAAGGGCGAGAGAGAGGAATATTGCAAGAGTCAAGAGAGAGAAATTGAGGGCGGCATCGCCGCATCGATCGGTTTTCTAGTAAGTACGTGTCTTCCAGACTTCGCCGCGGGTAGGGAGGGAATCATGCGCGTCCAGCCGTCCACGGACGAAACAAGCGAGACTCCCCGCGCTTTCCGCCGCCCGCGGCAGCAAGAAGACGAGTGAAGTGAAGTGGGGCTGCTTGAGTGCTTGACTTGCTCCTCAGTCGTCTCCCCTCGAGCTCTCACCTACCAAATCCGTCGAAACACGCTTGGTGGAGAGCGAAACAATTATCCGTAAATCCTCCACGTCGCGCTCTACATCTCAACGGCCGCCCATAAAACCCAGCGGTGGCGTGAGCTGAACGGCGCCGATCCATTTTCTTCCTCTTCGACAGGAGAAGCCCATTTCCCCCTTCCTGTTCCTCCCGCCGCTCCTATCGTGCAAGAACTTGGTACCACAGAGTGAGAGAGAGAGAGGAACGATTCGTTGATGCCATGGAGCCGCCCAAGAGGCAGCTGGCCCTGACGGGAGCCGGCGCAGGCCGGGAGGAGGCGAAGCGCCTGCGCGTCGGGGTCGCCAACCCCAGCGCCGCCGGCTGGCAGGCGCCGACATCGCCGGCGTCGCCGGGGACGCGGCTCATGCGGCGGACCGTGCTCGTCGTGCTCTTTCTACTGCGAATGTGCGTGCTCGATCCCCAACAGCCCGCTCGATATATATTTCTTCTCTATCCATCGGGTGCACGTCGAGCTCCGTTTCTTGATTTCTAACTCTTCTGTCCCCGCGATTCTGTGCGTGCAGGAGCGACGGGATCACGGTGACGGAAAGCATCTCCCAGATTGGTCGCATGGTGAGCGCGCGCGCCTGCGTGTGTGCACGAGCATTCGTTTTTCCTGGAATTTGCCAGTGGGATTTATGTATTATTGCCTGTGGATTTGTTCTGCGTATTCATTTCGTTTGTCTCTTTTGTGCTTGTATAGGTTCAGAGGAAGATGGAAGGGTTTCAAAAGGTTCAGGCTCTTATGATGCGGTAAGGATCATTTCTCTGTTATGCTCTTGTGTTCAAATTTTGTTTCAAAAGATATGGCAGCCGTAATTATGGACTTCTTTTCACGCGTTTGGTAGCATTCAGGCTTTAGCAATACAAATATCACTTAAAAGGTGAATTTTTGAAAAAGTTTCGTACATACAATACTTTTTTGAAATATGTCCAACCATCTATAAAGAAAGTTCTCATGCTTCACAGATAACCTTCTCGCAATTGTTCTTATAAAAAGTTGATGGCCCATGTAATATTGCATTGACAACTAAAAAAGTTCATGGCACATGTAATTTTCCAAGGCCTTAGGAATAACTTGCAAATAGAGATAATTCCCGCAAAAAAAAAAACTTGCAAGTAGAGATAAATATTAAGACGGTTCATTATTTTTAGAATAATCAAGGGTGTACATTGGAGACCTTGTCAATACCTAAAAGGGCATAAAAAGTGAACAAGTAACTTTTTTTTAGAACAGTGAACAAGTAACTTATGAGGTATAGTTGTGTCCTTTTGTGTCTTGATGTATTTCCATGATTTCTTCAACTTGCCATACTTCTTCCCTCAATGAAAGTATGCAAGCTCCGCTTGTTTTGTTTTTATTTACTTTTGAGATAAACAAAAGGCTTACCCGTGCTTCTCTTTCTATTTTTGTTATCTTTGGTCTTAGCCAATTGGAAAATTTCGAGGAGAAGATGGAGGCCAAATTGGAAAATTTAGAGGAGAAGCTGGAGGGCAAATTGGGAAATTTAGAAGAGAAGATGGAGAGCAAGAGCCAGGAAGTGGTTAGATTCATATTCTTTAAATTAACTTCTTTACATGTTCATCCTTATTTGATACTAGTATATAGTATATATGCTGCTCACAGTTTTTTTTTTTGAGGGTATGCTCACAGTGTATTTGTCATGTAAAAATTGCAGAAGGAGTTGGCACGTTTTCATTCCAATAGACACGCTGATAAACACCCAAGGTAACAGATTTGCAGTTGCACCTGCTTGATAGTTTCTTCCGTCGTACTTAATTCATGCTGAAATGTTAAATATTCATTATCTGGCCTTTTATTGAGTTGCCATTCTATATACCTAAATATTTGATCCCTACTAACTCTAATTCTATTAACATGCAACTACGCCAACTCACCGACCATCATGCATGGAAAAAGACCCACCTTAACATACACCATGCATGCTATCCATATTTAATAAAAAAATTGAAAAGGAGGAAGACCCCCGGGCTCTCTGCTTCTGGGCGATGCATGCAATGACTTTATTAATTATTCACAAAAGACCTTATAAAAAATACAACAGTAAGTCTGAAGCCACCGTCTAGGGCTCTAGGCAACACCTGTCGTTACTCCTATCTAGTTGATGAAGGGATGCTGATAGTCAGGGTCTAATACTACAGACCTCGCAGCCAAGCCTAATATCTAAGACCTGAGGCCCCAACCTAGCCACTTGTCGGGTCTGGGGCACACACTGTTCCGGTGCGCTCTCAGAGGCCGCAGTCGCCAACTGCCACCGCTCCATCTTCAGAGTTGTACTGACGCATCAACCTTGCTCGATCTAGCTATCGTCGACGCCACCACGGAGCCCAACGACACCGCCTCCCTGCGCGAAACAGCTGATCACGTTGCAGTCGCCACTGATACACCTCAGCACCATGCTGCCAAGTACCACCAGCCGACACAACTTGAAGTCTTTGGAAGATCTGTCGTGCGTAGCACCTACCGACCAGGCATGACAAAGCGTAGCACCTGTCGGTCAGGCATGACTTGACATCTTCACCGAAGCTCCGTGCAACCGCTCCACCTCCTGCCTCTGTCTTCCAGCGCTGCTCCACAAACGATGCTCCCAAGAGAGAAACAACACCGTAGTGTCACCATCGCCCGATCTGGAACACCAGATCCTAGAGTTTCCCTCGGAGCAGCACGAGTGGGTCGACAGTAGTTACACGACGATGCCTCCATCAAGGTAACGGCGTAGAACGCCGCCATCACCTATCGTCTGCTCGGTTTTCACCTACAACCATGTCTCCCCAAGTCGCAGCTGGGACTAGATGATGGATCTCGAGATCCGATCACCAAGCCTCTGGCCGGCCACCTCCGACGAAGAAGATGACCACCACCACTGGCCAGCGAGACGACGCGAGGTGAAGTAGGGCGCTGCCAGCGTGCGTCCTGGCCAGCACCACCGGCGCTAGGCCCGTCCGGGACCACGTCCCATGGCCGAGAACAGCGGCAAGCGCTGCCACGACGGGGACGCAGACCCGAAGCCCATAACCGGCCCACCCACACACCGCCACGTGGCCACCATCAAGCACCGTTCAGGGGTAGCCCCGCCGCCGTGAGGGACGCCGCCCCACGGGCAGTAGGCGCCAGCAACAGGCAAACCACCACCGCGCACCACCGGCCGCCGCGAGATCTGCGTGGCGCAATGGCGAAACGATGAGGATGCCCCGCTGCCACCTTCCTTGGGGATCACGCGGGCTTCGTTGGTGTCCCCTCCGGCGGCGGCGAAGCGGGGAAGGAGTGGGGAGGGGAGGCCGGCGGCGTGGTTAGGGTTTCCCCGTGCGCCAGAGGGCGACGCGCGCGCGGGGGGCGGGGGTCGAGAATGTAGTCGATGCAAATTAGAAAATGGATCCATATTTAATAAACAGCATTCTACAATGTACAATAATCAAAATACAATTAATTATATATATATTTTTAGTTTCAGTTCTCGCATTGTCACATAGCAGTACCTATCCGATGTTGCTCTACAGGAACAAAGTAGTATGTGGGTGTTAAATTCAAAAATGCCAACTGAACAACAACTACATCACAATGTCATTCATGTTCCTGTTTCAGATCAGAACCATATCAGGAGGGTGCCACTTTGAGTGAACCGAATGCCAACATTCGCCTGCGTTTCCTGGATGGCCTGAAGACTCCAATTTACACAGACAAGATTATAGCATCTGAGAGCAATGCGGCTATCAGGATTGGCGTCTTTGATGGTGACAAAATGATCAATGAAGGCCCGCTTTCCAAGGCGAAAGTTGAGATCCTGGTTCTCCGTGGCGACTTCTGCAGTGACGGTCAGGAGAGTTGGACTGAAGAGGAGTTCAACAGCCACATAGCGCAAGGCCGGCACAGGCAAGGGTCAGTGCTGGGGGGCGATTGCAGTGCGTGGTTGAACAATGGGGAGGCATCATTGGGAAAAATCTGCTTCAGAGAAGGATCATCCAGGACTCCCAGTAGGAAGTTCATCGTCGGAGGAAGAGTATGCACGAACAGGAAGATCGGTGGTATTCGAGTCCAGGAAGCTGTCATGGAGCCGGTCACTGTGCTGGATCGTAGAAATGAAGGTAAAAGTATATCTGTCAGGTTTCCTTTTGTTGCTAGTCAGCATGTTCTTTGTTTCCATTGGACTCACATTACAGTTTCCTTTTTAATCATTGTTTGCTTCAGCAAATGAGAAGAGGCACCCTCCAAGATTGGACGATGAAGTCTATCGCCTGGAAGAAATCTCCAAAGATGGAATTTACCACAGGAGGCTTAAGGATGCTCAGATATTCAAAGTTGAGGACTTCCTTAAGGCTTTGAATAAAGATGCAGACGAGCTCCGTGAAATGGTATAAAATCTCCCATATGATTTTTTTTCTCATTCTTTTCATTAGTTGTGCTATTTTCTCGCGGTGAATAATGTTGTCGTTGTGATTTCTTGACATACAGGTCCTCCAGATCAAGAAGCGCAGTAACGCTTGGGAAAGAATGGTTAAGCATGCCAGGGAATGCTGCCTCGCAGACAGGCCCGAGCTCAAAGCATATCACAGTGTAGATGGGAATGTAGTGATCTTCTTCAATTGCGTGCATGATCTTGTTGGAGCAATTTTTTATGGTGTTTACATTTCACGGGACAATTTTGATCCGGCTAAGAAGGTACATTCTCAACATAATCATCTAATATTTGGACCATATGTGGATGTCAAACAAGTTGAAGATATCATTTTCTCATCGCAGGCTCAAGCGTATGAGTTGAAAGAGTGTGCGCGCGGTCAGTTGGACATCCTCCCGTTTGACTATGTGATGAATGGCAATCTTCCTGAACAAGTTCCCTCTAGCACACATTCTACTCTGGATGCAGCATTCATTCTTGGGCCGGATGCCGCGCTTCAACGTTAGATACACGTTTTCTTACCCTTCCATGTCTTAAAATTTCTGACTATGCGATGGCCTGAACTATGGAGCTTAAATTGGTCTTTTTGAGGAACTGCAGCAAATGAAAACCAGTTGCAGTACAGGATCAACAATATCACTGAACCATCTCACCAGAATGAGTATATTCATGGTGATCAGAGCACAGTTAACACACATTATTACCAAGGTACATAGTTGTTGCTGCTTGTTCCCCTCTTATCTCTTTATCCTCTGTTTCCTCATGGACTCCTTGCAGTTTCAGTGACTTATGCTCATTTTGGCCTTTTTTTAGGAGAAAGTATTCTACCAGTTGGTCAGCAGCAACCTACAATTTTCACTGGTGAATTGCTACACTGGCCCTATGAAAGTGAGCAATCGGTATCTGCATGAACCATGAACAAACCTGATAGATGACTCACATTTTACTCTCATACTTCCAGGATCAGGTCAAGTGAACATCCATAGCCAGATGCAAGCTCCCATGTCCATGGATGGCGGAAGTGTCATGCAGGCATCAACCTCTGTTCAGCACAACCTTCTGTCACAACAATTTGCTCCTACTCAAGTCCAAGAAAGTATGCATGGGATCCATTACTCTGAGAATCCACCTAACCATGCCGTTGGACCATCGACATGGCACGATGATATTATCCCTGCACGGGAGCCTAGTGCCAATCTATTTCCCGGACCGGATTATGGGAACTTCTAGCAAGCGAGCACTTTCCACAATGCAGTTTAGGGCGTGTACCATCATGGTTTGTGTGTTGTGTGTCACCACAACTTAGGTGTCAGGTTGTGATATACAGTAGTACTTGTTATTTTCAGTATCAGGCATTGTAGACTGTATGTTTGGACACAAAATTGCTTGCCCCCATTCTTTCCTGTTAGATGTTTCAACATTGTACAATGATGTCGTGTGGGATCTAAGGGTGTGTTGTAACTTAGGCAAAACATTTTGTTTTGTGCGCGCCCACTGATGTTTAATTGATGTTTATATGTTTTGGAATGTTTACGACTATAAACTGCCAGACTGATATTGTTGAGTAAGAGAAAACTCAGAACGTAAAATTTTCTCACATGGTACTGTAAAATTTATTTCACCACCTTTTTGCATTGCAGCATACCCCCTCCGCTCCCAAAAGAAATCATATAAACTTTGTCTCAATTCAAAGAGTGCAAAGTTTAACCTGTACGCATCTCCTCTCCTGAAATCTCAGGTGGCTAGGGTTTTCCGTTCGTGCAGCCGCCACCAACAGTTCCCCTCGCCTCTGGGTGCCTTCAGGCACCGGCGAGGTGGGGGAACCCCCCTTTGGAGTGGAGTTTGGGTCTCCCTAGCCCAACCTACGGTTCAATCTAGCGACGCATTTGGTTCGCCCTCAGGTTACTTCTTCGGTTAAGGTATCGGGAAGCTTCGTTTTACCTTTTTGCTTTAGCAATACGTGATCTGTTTGGTCTGGCCGTCCGACTCCTGTTTTCCTAATCAGCCGCATGTGAGCGTTTTTAATTTTGTGAACCCCGTATCGGAAAGCACTGCTACGGAATACGTGGTGTGCGTGTACCAAACGCCGGATATTGTTTCAGAATGCGCTGCAATCGGGAACCGTTGCGATTCTCCCGAACCAAACGCGTTGTAGGTGTGTGGTCGATGGTGGCGAGACGATGTCACGCTTGCCAGGAGGCTCCACCCGCAAAAAAACAAAGGAGACGGGACGACCCCAACTGTCAGTGAGTGACCTCGAGGCCTGCCGCCTGTTCTATGTACCTGGGCTGTGGAGTGAGCGTGTGTTCGGCCGAGACGATGCCTGCGTGCTCGTGGCGCGGTTAAGTGGGTAGGCAACCTGTTGTAGTTATCGAAAAAGGCTTTTGCCCTGCTTTATAAATAAAGCAAACCGTCAAGAGTACACCACGGACTAGCCCAGAACATATACCCAAGTCACACAACAGGAAATACAAAGGTCTTGCTGAGGGCATAGCTCAACAAGCCCAAATAAAAAGCATAAAAAAGGGAGCCGGAGAACATGTCCGGCGTCTAGTCTGGCTCTGGAGATGGCGGAGGGAGCGGCGGCGACAGTCGGACGGCCATCGAGCGAAGGTCGGCGATGAAGACGGAGATGGCGTCCCGGTCATGTGGGCGGCTAAGCGGCCGCCAAAACTGCAAGGAATCAGACAGTTTGAAGAGAGCATTAGTAGCCCGTCGAAGAGGAATGCACTGGATCACAAGTTTATTGCGGATCGTACAGAGGGTCCAAGCGAGGGCCCCAATCTCAATCCACCTAATGTGGCGAGAGGGCAGTGGGGAGTTCTGGAGTTCGGCGAATAGGTCGGGGAAGTTGGTGTGGCACCAATTACCACCCACCACCTCTCTAAAGCAGCTCCACACGAATTGAGCGGACACACAAGAGAAGAAGATGTGATTCAAGTCTTCGAGAATACCACAGAGCGGGCAAAGGCCGGTACCAGGGCCATTGTGCTTGCGAACCTCCACCCCAGATGGGGTCCGTCCGCGGATCCATTGCCACATGAAGATCCGGATTTTCAATGGCAGGCGGATGGACCACACTGCCGTAAGGGGGGGGGGGGTGGAGGGGGCAATGGCCTGGTAGAGGGACTTGGTGGAGAATTGGCCTGACGACTCAAGATGCCACCGAACCTAATCCGGGCCAGCATCCACTACCGGCTCGTGGAGAGCGACGCAATCAAGCAGCTCCTGCTAGGCGGCGGATTTCGGAGGCCCAAATGGCCTCCGAAATGCGAGGCGCCCTAAGTCAATAAGGGCCCTCTCTACTGAGATCGAAGGGTCGACGGCGATGGAGAAGAGGTCGAGGAGGCATGCAGCAAAGGGGGAGTCTCCTGCCCACCGGTGAAACCAGAACAAAGTCGCAGCTCCCGATCCAACCGAGATGTAAGTCCCAATGCGGAGGACAGGGAGCAGTTGGATGACCGACTGCCAGAACTGGGAACCGCCTGACCTCTGACAGAAGGCTAGGAGTTGCCCACGCAGGTACTTGTTCCGGATGATGTCTAACCAAAGGTCGTCGTGCCCTTGCGAAATGCGCCAGAGCCATCAGGATAAGAGGGCAATATTCATGCGCTTGGAGCACATGATGCTGAGGCCTCCTTGTTCCTGAGGCTTGCAAATGTCTGGCCAGCTAACCATATGGCATTTCTGCTTAATGTTATCGCCTGCCCAATAGAAGCGAGACTAGACTTTGGCGATCTAATGGTGTAGAGTCTCGTGAAGGTTGTAGAAGCTCATGAGGAACAAGTAGAGGCTGGAGAGGGAGGATTTGATGAGAATCGTCCGAGCCGCCTTCGACAGCCACCTGCCCTGCCATGGCTCAATGCGCGTTTGCAGCTTGGACACGGTTGGCCGCAAGTCAGCGACGGTAAGCCTAGAGTCACTAATGGGCGTTCCCAAGTATGTCGTGGGGAAGGAGCCCGGGCGGCAATTGAGCCGATTGGCAATGTCCAGGCACTCTGCCGGAGAGTAGCCCATCACCATCACCTCACTTTTTTCGAAGTTGATCTTCATGCCAGACATTTGTTGGAAGCAGAGAAGGAACTTAAGATTAGAGATGTCCGCCTCTGAGCCTTCGACCATAATGATGGTGTCGTCGGCGTACTGGAGAAGGGAGATCCCGGAGCCACCGGCCAGGTGGGGAGTGATCCCCACGAATATGGCCCGCAACCTTAGCCTTGTCCAGGATGGCGGAAAGCGCGTCCACCACCATATTGAACAAGAATGGGGAGAAGGGGTCGCCTTGTCTAACCCCACAGAGAGTGGGGAAGTAAGGACCAATCTCCCCATTGTAAGTGCATCTAGTGCCCCTTAGTGATTTTGGTGTATTGAAGACTTATAGGTTAAGGGACTAATATGTGTGTGAGTGTACACGGGTCTATAAGTCTATAGTCGACCCCTAAAAATGAATATCTTCGACTGAAGATTTTGGTATTTCTGAAGACTTTGAAAGTGAAGAAATTGGTGTGTCCGTGAAGACTTGATATTCATGCGAGAAATATGAAGCTTGAAGACTTTCATTTTCATAGTTTTGTTTTTCTCTTTCTTGAGTCATAGGAAACACCATACTGTTAAAGGGGGTCGAGAAAATACTAAGGAAAAATTTCCATGTGATGCTCAACTCAAATCCTACACCTACCAATCCCTTCGAGTGAAGCCATTGGAAATCTCATACAGTTCAGTCAATTTCTTCAGTGACAGAGACAAAGTTCTTCTGGTCTCTGAGGAATTTGTCCTGACTGAGGAGTTAGGAATTCGCCAGTGCGGATTGCCTACACAGTGAGGAACATGATAGCCCTGAGGATTTTGCTACTCAAAATTCTGACCGTTGCTGTGCTATGCGCCAGCTGTCCCAAAATATCTATCCACCTAACAGTCATATCATTGAAGGGCATTTATGTCTTATCATGTCGGGCTGCTCCCTAGGCTATAAATAGCCGCCCCCTACAACCACTAGCTGGTTGGCTGCTCCGAGAGAAACTGACACTTGTCATTTGAGAGCAACCCATCCTCCGAGGACTTTGAGCGAAAATCATCAAGTGAGGAAAAACCAAAAACCCCAAACCCAAACACCTACAAACCCCAAGTGATTGAGCATCACCGAAGAGATTGATCCTGAGTGGATCCGACACTTGTTACCTTTGAAGACTGTGCTTCTTCCAGCCGGTTAGGCGTCATGGTCTAGAGCATCCAAGAGGAATAGTAGATCGCCAAGTGACCAAGTTTGTGAAGGTTTGGAAGTCGCCTGAAGACTTACCACGAGTGATTGCACGAGGTCTGTGTGACCTTAGTTCAAGGAGAATACGGTGAGGACTGGGTGTAACGCCCCGAGACCGATGTGCCAGGTGTCTTCCTGTTTTTTGATGTTGTTGGCTTGTCATTTGCTTGCGTGTTGCATCTTATCATGTCATCATGTGCATTGCATCATCATGTTTTCAAAACTTGCATTCGTCCGGGTTCTCCGAGTTCTCTCCGTTTTCCGTTCCGAGCCCAGACACACTTGCACGCGCCCGCGGCATGTCCGAAATAGTGTTTTATAAGTGGCCGGAAAATGTTCTCGGAATGGGTTGAAAGTTGGCGTGCGGTCTTATTATAGTGTAGATAGACCGCCTGTCAAGTTTCATCGCATTCGGAGTTCGTTTGATAGCCCAACCGTTAAACTATAGCGGCATTATAGTCGGTCTAACGTCGGACATTTTCGGTCTCCGGAAACAGATGTCGGGCCCTCTCTCTCTCTTCTCCCCCTCGCAGTCTCGCCACAGCCCACCTAGTCCATCCTCCTTCCCCTCTTCGCTTTCGGAGTTGTCCGATGCGACTGCACGGTCCGAAACCCTCTCTGCTCAGTGCATCAAACCTCCTCGCGTGCGTCCAAAAATTGTCCCGGACCCGACCCGGGCAGTCGTCACCGTTGGATCCGGATCATCCCCAAACGTCTACAAAACGTCACCGTTTTCTTATTTGGACTTCCTAGCCATTTTATTTGCGATCGTTCGATTGCGATCGGAGGGACGATATACCCCTAAGTCATCCCACCTACTATATATATAGTCTATCCCTAGTCCATTTTGGACAACCCTAATTTTTAGGATTCTCCCAGCCGTCGCCGCTGCACTCATTTCCCACCTCGGGATCCTCTCATTCCCCCTGCACCAACCACCAACCACCAAACCGATCCAATCCATCCCCGACCA